GCTTGGCACACAGGACTTGAGCCGTGGTTCTTGCCTTCAGGTGGCAAAGAAGAAAAGCAACAGCTGTCCCCATGGCGGAAGGACCCGGCCCGCTGCTGTTGGGGATGACATCTGCACAAACTCCAGGGTTCTTACACAACCCAAAGGTTGCAGAGAAGAAGCTGATACTGGACTGTTTTGCCAACCTAGGTGACGGGAGGCTAAAGCTGGATTTTATTTGATGTAGGCAAAGAAATATATTCGCCCTTTCTTATACTCAGGTGTTGTGGAACAATTCATAACTGTTTTAAGTAAAGTCAGATATCACACATCACTTGTTAAATGGTAAAAACTGGACATCTAACCCCTTTCAGAGGTGTTAAATGAACTCTGCAATTTTTAAAAACATGCTACTTTAAAATGAAATATTATTTTCCTAAAATCACTCATTTTATGGAAAGAGACAAAATGGTATATAAATTCCGAAGGGGGTTGCCAAATTTTGAGAATGAGAGAAGTTTGAGAGTCCAAAAAGTTTGGGAAATACTTAGAGATTTTGCTTGTTTGTTTAGTAACTTTTACAAAGTGACCCAGTCAGCTTTTGAAAGTTTTGTGTGTGTTGTGTTTTGGTTTTGTAGAGCCAGGGTCTGTGCTCCAGGCTGGACGAAGATTGTAGGAGACCAGTAAGGGGACTGTACATAGACTTAGTCCTAGTTAAGATGGGGACACTGAGCCTGGACTGTGCTCTTGGAGAGATGTTTCTAGGAAAAAAATCGAAAGGACTTTTGTGGCTAAATGTATGGATACCCATATCTATCTCTGGCACCTAGATACTAGGCCAGCACTGCTCAGCAGAATTTTCTATGATGATGGAAATATTCTTTATTTGCCCTGCCCAATATGATGCCCCATAACCACAGGGGAGCACTTGAAATGTAGACAGTGCAGTTAAGGAACTATCCTAAAAAGAAGGGTTTTTAATTTTATTTAATTTGGATTGATTTACATTTGAATGGCCACAGAAGGCCAGGGCCCACCAGTTTGGACAGCACCAGTGTAGACCAGCAATTTGAACTCGATGACTATCTCCACATAAACTTTACAAGCACCTCAGATACGGTAGTTCATCCTCTGCCTCCTACCACACTCACAACATCTGTATAATGCTTCTTACGTTGTTTAAAATGCCATCATCTTGTCAGTCATTCAGGGTTAAAATCGAGAAGTCATTTGTTCGTTTCAGAAACACGTATAGAACACTGACTACTTGCCAGGCAATGTACTAGACAACAGGAGAGGCAAAGACGAATATAGTCCTGGTCAGGAAAGGATGAAAATGTTCATAATTGAAATGTTAAATTTGAGGTCCAATCAGGGAAATAAGACACAGACCCTTCCCCCTCCTTCTGCCACTTCCCGCAGGCAGACTTGCCCTGCAGCTCCCCTGTCCTTTCACTACCCTGAGGGCAGAAATGTTTCTCCCTCCATTTTCCTCTGTCCCCACAGGGCCTAGAGGAGAGACTTGTACATGGTGGGAGTGGTGGTGTTGGTGGGTGATAAATGTTTGTGGAGTGAATCCACTTCCTCTTTTCCACCTTACTTTCTGATTCTTCTGTTTCCTTTTCCCTCCTTCCCACTAAGTGGTGAACACAGCCTCCTATTGACCTGGTGACTCCAAAAACTCCACATGCACTTACTGGAGTTCCTTTAAGGCCTCACACAGTGTGGTCCTGGCCCAACAGCAGTAGGGTAAACTGGGAGCTTGTTAGGAAGGCAGAATCTCCATTCCTGCCCCATACCTACTGAACCAGAATCTGCTTTTTAAGCAGGCACCTCATATTGCATGCTCAACATTGAGAAGCACTGCTATAGGAACATGTTTACTCGCCTTTAAGTTCTTTGAAGTCTTTCACTCGCATACGGAATAACATTAACACAAAGTAGTCAGCCTGCCACTCAAAGCCTCCACATCATCATCTCTCAATGTTGCAACCTTCCCCCTCACGGAGCTCCTACACCTCTACACTCCATCCAGACAGACGTCTTCACCTCTCCTCAGACACATCCAACACTCTTCTGCTTCACATGCTCTTTCCCAGTCTATTCCTTCTGTCAGGAAGGTTTCTTCTACCCTCCACCATCCACCATATCCACCTACAAAATCCTACTCTTCCTCTGAAGCACAGCTCAAGCCTGAGCTTCCCCAGAAGGCATTTTATAGAGCCCCCTTGTTCAAAATACTCTTTTACCCCTCATCTTTACCAATACTTCCACCTCTATCACCTCCCACCATCTCCTGTCCTGTACTGTGTATTCATCTGTCTGTCTCCCTCACATCACCTTGAGCTCTAGGTGTGCGTATTCTTCCTCAGTGTCTAGTACCCTGTCCTGTACAGTGAGCGCTCAAGCTTTGTTGAAATGAAGGGAAACGATTGAGAGTGACTTACTGAAAGACCTCTGTAGACATGATCTCAGTTCCCCTCTAACCCCATCCAGTTCCTTCCATGGCGGAAGGCACGGAGTTTCCATGGCTTCAGGGGCCTGGGCCCGGGCAGGGAGCAGTGGGTTTCAAGGGAGGGCTGCCTCACATACCTTTGAGTCTGTCTTGGCTGCCGCCTGCTCTCTGCTCTCTCTCCCGGAGAACAGCACCCAAAAACCCCAAACAAGAAAACCAAATAAAAGTAGAAGACTGAAATCCGATGGCAGTGGGATTGCGAGCTCCCAAGTCGGCGCCATTGCTCCAGCCCACACTGCTCTCAGCCACACAGTCCCCTCCCTTAAGGCTGTGGCTGTGGATGACATCACAATGGGCATTTTAAGGTAAACCTGACAGGGACCAGCCAGTGTGTGCGCTGCTTGAGTCTCTTCCTGGAGCCGTGCGCATCTGCCGCCCCTCCCTGCAGCCCTGCACGGGCTCTGCTCTGACAGCCAACGCTCAGGGAAGAGGGCCTTTATGGATCTTCTAGAATCAGGCTGGATAACCTGTCATAAAGGAGAGAGCTTAGAGGAATGGTTTCAAGATCAAGGCCTTTCATGTGGCCTATGCTGCCCTATAAGCATGTCCTCCAGAGCCAGTCATGCCCTAGAGGTCCGGGGATGTTGTCACGTGTCCAAATCACACATTAGAGTACAGGGCCAAGTACACTGTAGAAAGCTAGGATATTTTAATTAGGAACTCTCAGAAAATAGAACATGGTTTCTTAACTCAAGGCTCTACACATTTCCTAGTTGATGTTGTAAAGAGACAGAGATGTCACATAGGGAAATTAAATGACCTTAGGGGATTACTCTACTCCAGAATCCATGGTCTTGTTTTCCAAGTCTAGAACATTCATTTTGTCTTTATATCCAGAGTTGACTGGATACTCTGGGGTGAATTCACTGTGCACAGAATTTACAAGGAATCCATCTAAGCGCTACCAAAGATAAACTAAGTGGTCATGGTATTTTTTTTCCACCTTATATGAAGTTAATTGGAAAATCAATTCAATTAAATAATTATTGAATAGTAGGTACTGTCTTAGAAGAAGATAGACATGGCCTGTTACCTTGGAGAATTTTTAGTCTATTGGGACAGCCAAAGTAATATTCTTGAGAAGCCCATCAAGGAAGTGGTTAAATAAATATAGTCTGTCCATAGTTTGAAATTATTTGCAGTCAGTATAAAGATTATAAGGAGTGAGACCTGTCATGCTGAGCACACAGTATGTGACAGGCTTGGATTTCTAAGAGAAGCATAGGGCCCGAGTACAGTTTTAGTTCTTAAAATATAGGTGTACTTTTTGATAAAAATGTTTTTCTCTGTATATGAAATGTTATGTCTTTTTTACTCACCACTATGTTTGAAAGTCATCCATGCTGTTTTGTGTAGCTGAGATTCATTTTTATCATTTCATTGTCTTATATAACCATTATTATTATTCCAATGCATTATATAACTTACTTATCCAGTATGATACGAAGGATGTTTCGTGTGTCTTCCATGCTTCGCTATCTATAAGCAGTGCTGTTAAAAACACCATTGTCCATTTATCTTGGTAGACATTTTTTTCTGTTTCCATGAGGTGATGGTTCTCTAGCATTAACATGTCTCAAAATTATCTGAAGGGCTTGTAAAAAAACAGATTGCTTGACCCCACCCCTAGACTTGCTAGTTGCATGAGTCTGGAATGGAGCCTAGGGATCTGGCATTTCTCAGAAGCTTCCAGGTGGTGCTGGTGGTCTTGTTCCAGGGACCCCAGTTGAAGGATCCCCGCTGCTTAGGTATCTACCTAGGATACGTTATAGAGTATGTGTAACTTAACCTCCAGTAGACAGTGCCAAACTAATTCCCCATGTGGTTATGTCAATGAAGACTTCCACCAGTGGTGACTGGCGTTTCTCTTGCTACATGTGTCTTTTCATGCCAGCATGTGTTACTGTCAGGCTGTTTAATTTTGGCCACTGCAGTGTATTTGGTGATATTTCATTGTGATTATAAGTGAAATGTCTCTGATTTCTGATGATGACTAACTTTCATCAGTTAATGGTTTTTTTTTTTTAATGTATTGCTGCATTCCAGTTGGTAATGTTTTGTTCAGGATTTGTTTTCTCTTTTCATGTTGATGGCAGCCTGTAATTTTCCTCTCTTGTTCTCTTCTGGTCAGGTTTTTGGGACCAACGTTATGCCAGACTCATGAGTTGGGAAATGTTTTCTGTTTTTTCAGTGCTCTCAAAGAGTTGGTTTAAATCTGGAACTATGTGATTCTTCCACAGTTGGTACAAGTTGTAAGCAAACCATAATCCCGGAATTTTCCATGAGCTAAAATTTTAACTGCAGATTCAATTTATTTCCGGGTTATTGCGATATTGTAAGTTATAAGAAATACCTATTTGGTCATTTTGATGACTGAATACGTACTTCCCAGTTGTATGTGGTCTTTTTTATCCACAGTTCCTGAAGACACTTCAGAGCCTTAAATGTGAAATGGGTGTCTTGTCATGTTGTTGAGAGACCTTTGGACCCAACCCAGGGCAGGGGGATGTGGCATCAGCCAATTGACAGTGACTTGGTGAGTCCTGACTGCATAGGGGCCCTCATAAAGACCTTTGAGAAGGGCATCTCTCTCTTCTTGCATCGTGCTTCTCTGTCAGAGTTTCCACCTTTGGGTAACTTGAATGCTTCTACTTCTCCTGAGCCAGGCCTTACGCTCCGCAAGGATGGAAGCTCCTTTAGTTGGGACCTTGCCCTCAGTCTCTCTTCATTTGGGTGTTGTGTCCCTTACTGTATTGGAATTGGGTCTGGGAAGCTGAAACAAGTGGTATTGCTGTGGATAAAATCACAGATTTCGACAGATACTGTATTAAATCTGTAGATTTTTCTTAGGGGGATGGTTTTCAGTCTTTCACCCATGAGTATGATGTTAGCTATGGGTTTTTGATACATGCCCTTGTTTTGTTTTTTTAAATCCTAAAAATTTTCTAAATGGAGTTAATTACAAAGCATTTAATAAGGTATTTCAATTTTTTTGCCAGTTTATGCAAAGTAATTTTTAAATTGAGAAAAGAAGAAATTTATTTCATTGTTAATATTTTTTGTATTTATGGCTTAACTGGTCAAGAATATATAGAAAGCACTTATGGGAAAGGAGAAAAAGGAGACAGAGCAACCTTCAGAGCTCACCAAATATAGGATTTTACTCTGAACATTTTTAAGCTGACAATTACCTACTTCTAAGGCTTCATTTTTTTTTTTTTTTAGATAATTATTTTTTATTGAAGGGTAGTTGACACACA